TGAAATTTGGTGGCCTGAGAAAAATTTCAGACACACGGAGAGTCGAATCACCGTCCTCGAGGATCCCGCGGGGATCCCGCGCTCTGAGTGGGCGCCCTACCGACTGAACCACAGAGGCGAGATACGTACTGGCGCTCCAGGGAACGAATCATTCTACGCTGTCGCTGACTGGCGTCGCTCCTTGTCTCCCGTAATACAGCACCGACTTTGAACGCGCAGTGGAGAAGACGATCGGGCGGCCGAGCGCCGAGCGCGCTAAATCGTGCTTGTGTCAAATTGTTCGCCCGAGATTCGACTCCCGGCTAGGGCAGATATATATTTTATCTCCTTCACTTCTGGGGCAGATGAGGTTGCTCAATTGTGACCAGTCTGAAACTGTCAGGGGTTCGACTCCCGGCCAGCGCACTTTTTTTTTTTTTTTTTAATTTTTTTGCCGCTTTTCGTCGCTTGGGGCGTGGACGGCCGCTGGTTCGAATAACGTTCATCCCACATTTTTCGAGCTTTTGCAACCCAATATTTCCGTCTTACAGGAGACAAGAAGTGACGAAAAAAATATATTTGCGCTGGCCGGGAGTCGAACCCCGGGCGCATGATCACAGACGATGAAACATTATTGCGCTCGGCTGTCCGTTCGTCTTCTCCCCTATGCGTCACAACCTCTGTCCTGCATTACGGAGGACGAAAAGCGGCAAAAAAAAAAAAAAAATCAAAAAAAATTCCTGATCTCCTGATCTTTACTATTGTCACATGGCACTTCCCCGCCGTTGCCGCCTGGAGCCACACAAAGGTGCACGGGACGGAAAGCATCCCCAAAGGATCACATCCTGGACAGGCGAGGCGGTATTGCCTACCTCAGGCAAGAATCACATCCCGCGACCACGATATGGGATCGTCCAGAAAGTACGTCCGTTTTTCTCAAAATCATTTGGCAAATAACGGGAGCTCGGCGCCTGCGAGACACGGGGTAGGCCACCCCGCAGTACACGTATGCACTGTAGGCAGGATGTTGCCTACTCGTCAGGCGCTATGAGACCATGCACAAGCTGAACTTGGTAGGTT